TTACTTCTTCCTTATAAATGTGGATGCCTTTTATTTCTTTTTCTTCTCTGACCAGTGTTACCTTTCTAACATTGATTGTGGGTACATTCAAACTGAGATGATTTCATAACTACATAGCTTTGAATTCTCAATCCCCAAATAATATCTATTCTATTTCACTGATCATTTTAAAATATCAAGATCCTAAATTATCTTTTTTAAGATCCAGGATCAATACTGGAAAAGTAATTTAGTAACTTATCAGATTTTATAGTAATTAAACATTGATAGGACAAGTTTCTAGTGTTGAGAGAAAATGTTTCATAAAACACATAAAGAATTAATTGTTTACCAAAGGACATACCTCCAACTCAAGAGAAAATAGCTATTTGGGGGGAATTTATGAAGAAATTAGGACAATGGGAGGAAAGTCTCTATAAATACAGGTTGTTTATTGGAGGGTTATAATGTCTTCTTATATTTAGATCATACTCTTGGTCTTGTGCTCCCACTTAATGAGCAAAAGACATTTAGTATTTGCTTATCAAAGCCCCTATGCTACCCAGTATTCCATCTCCACCTAATAAAGTAAGCTCACTATATACATCCGTCTTACATATGTCTCTTCCTGCAGGATGGGGTTTAGAGAGTTGAGGTTTGAATTCTAGAGTGCATTCATATGCTGGGGGTGGGGGCTGGGTGCTGGGAGGGGACAGAGAAATTAGGAAGAAAAAGGGGAAGGGAGTTTTTGGTTTATGATTCAAGGTCTGGTGGGAACATTTTTGAAAATGTAGGTGCTATTTCCTGCAATCAAGGGCTTTCCAGAGCTTGATAATCATTTCCCAGGTGTATCCCTTTGCTGAATTGTTTTTAGTTGTGGGCACTCCTTGGCTGTTTTTTCCCAGTTATGATGGAAGAGGATCATATTCATCTTGCTGAAAGAAAACAGGGAATTTAACTCCCACAGCTTCTCCCCTCTTTCCCTTCACCTTGTGGAAAATTTGGCTTTGTACTAACGTGTGAAAAAAAAAGCTTTAACTGTAGTATGTCAGGCATATTTCAGTTCGATTTGTGTCAGCCCTAATAAGTAAGTTGACAGAGTAATAAATTGGGTGTCTGTTCAAGACCTGGTACCTGAACAGGAAATAAAAAGTATTTCAATTGCAAGCAGGTTCTCTTTCATTTTAGAGTAGAAGTTTTCCAGGGACCCTATTTCATTTATTGAAGTCTTGGTATCTAAATACTTTTTCAGTTGTCACTGGAACTGTCAAGAAAGATAGCAATTATAAAAAAAGATACTGAACTAATGGTACATTGATGAGGCAGATGATTATGTTTTCTGTTCACCAATGTATCCTCCTTGTCTTGTGCTGTGCTTGGCACTCAGTAGGCTTTTAATATGAATTTATTGAATGATGGAATGAACCCATGGATGGATTTGCTTTGACACATGTACTAAAACTTATGTAAGAAGTTATAGATTATTTCGACTTCCTATTGCATTTTCTAGGTTTTAATTTTTCTTTCAGGATCCATATTTTTCAGGTTATTAGCTGGAGCAGTTTTGCGCCCCCCCCCTTCCAGGAGACATTTGGACGTCTTGTTATCACATTTGGGATGGAGGACTGTGCTACTGGTCTCTGGTAAATAGAGGCCAGGAATGCTGTTAAATATTCTATAATTCACATGATAGACCCTCATAACAGAGAATTACATGACTCAAATGGCAGTAGTGTCAAGGTTGAAAATCCCTGTTGTAGAGAAATTATTAGGTTTAACCATGTACAATTTATATTATTCACCATTTTTTACCTAAAACTTGAATTTCCAATGGCTAACCCTCTACTAATGAGTAATAGGGAACCATATTAAGATATCATAATTTGAGTAACTGTTTCCACAGGACAGACTCCTACAGAAAAAAATTACCTTGTCCAAATGTCAATAATGACACTGTCAAGAAGCTCTTGTCTAAATATATAAAAGTTACGAACCACACTAACATGCCTTGAAATAATATTTGTTCTGTCCCCCTACTTTGATAAATGTTGTGTATTGCTTGTTATATCAGATTTATTGTTTAAGTGAAGTTGTTTTGCTCTAACTGCGTATTTGTTTACATTGGGGAGGCCATGTCAGGATGTCATCAGTTGTACTACAGAGTTTATTAACGTGATGGACATTTAAATTTTAAATATCAAAAATTTGTGGGGACTTATCAAGAAAGTTCAGTCTGGGCAAGACTGTTCTTTTCTGATCTAGGTAGCTCCCTAAAACCTTGGGGATATTAGCTCCTGCTATGTCAAGCTTACTCTGCTGGCAGTGATGAAAGCTTCAGTGGCCGCATGAAGGAGATCATAGCCACCAACACCAGTGCCTTTGTTCTGCTAGCATAGTGCTGTAGCATTAAGAGATTTTCAATTTGCCTGGCAGCTGGACATTAGCTACTGATTGGCTATGCTGAGTCTTCTCAGAACCAACACACACAAGGGTTCACCTCAATTAAATTTGGACTTTATTTCTTTTCATCTCTCCTTTGTGTAATTAGTGTAATAATAGTGAGCAATAATATAATTAATCTATCATTGGTTTAAGTATGTTATTTCTTTCTTAGCTTATTAAAGGACATTAGTGTGCTTTGGCTTGTGAAATATTGTTATACACTATAATTCCCACAGTGAACATGAATTAAATAAATTATTGGCAAAGACACTTTCAGTCTCCAAGCATAATTTGCCATGAACAAAAATAACCTGGATAACAAATTGGAAGACAAGTTTTAAAGTTTGAGTTTTGGGACTCCTCAGAGTTCCAGAACAGTGTGGGAGCATCTGGCCCCTGGACTGTTCTGTTTCATGAGGGACCTTACACATACAATGTAGGCATCCTAGACCACTTGTCCCAGCTCTTTCTACATATCCAAAATAGCCACTCTTGACTACCTTGTTACATCTATGAGTTGGTCCACCTGTACCCATTGGCCTTCTGGAGGACTAGACCAGGAATAAGTCCCACACAGGATCTGCAAGAAGGCTCAGAGCCACTTTGACAGAGGATTCTGGAGTATCCAGGGCATGTTCCAGGTTGAGACAGGAGTTCTGGGTAGGCAGTTTCCTTGGGTCAAGGACTCACTCAGGGAGAGAACTGATCTTTCTAGAAATATAATTGTTGGAGGAGGTCATGGAAAGGTTGTGACCACCAGTTTACTCACAAGCTGAACCCAAGCAATGGAAGTCTCCTCATTCCCTTTCCTGTCTTTGGAAAATACATTTCACATACTGTTCTCATATTAGCAACTGTTTCCAAGACCTAGTCCTCAGAGGGTAAAGTGTTGTTGAGACCATCTGGACTGAATATGTGACTGAACCCAGTAAAGCCTCTGTATAAACTTTTAAGATTCTGGCAGATGGGTGCAGAGGTCTATTCATCTTGAGGCTGCCCAGGACTAGTCTAGTATGTAAATTCTCTTGCTTATTAAGACTGCCACCTGCCAATCTGCCATTGTCTGCCTCTTCTTTGGTCTTTCCTTGTCCTCCAGGTACAGGAGTGAATTTACAACCCAATAGTCATTTCAAAATAAAAATTGGATTTTAAGATCTGATGATGTATGGTCCTCTCCAAAAGTGTAGGCATTTGATGTTTCTTTTACTTATTAGTGTTGTTGGGAAGTTGCCTAGAGTTTTCTATGACAAATTAAATAATAACTTAAAGCATTCAAAATACGAGGCAATTAAAAGTTACTAAATCGTAATTAAACTCATATTGTAATTAAAATTAGAAGTAAAGTTAAAGACCCAGGTCCTAAAGACTCAGTAACATGTTAATTCATAGAATCTCACTCTGTAAAGGGAAATACTATTAAAATTGCAAATTTTAATAATGTACTAATTTGAACTGCTTCTTCAACTTTTATTTAAAATCAGATTATCTAAGAATTTTCTCACTTGTTTATGGTTTATAAATGAATCCTTATTAATAGAATGATCAATTAATTTTTAATGTTAATGATAAATATGAAGAAAAAGTTAATCCAATTAAATTTAGAATAATTTTTAGTGTGATCTTAAATTTGATCACAGAAATCTTAAAGAAAAAGTACTACACTTTATAAAATGAGAACATATTCTATATCTTTTGAAAATTTTTTGAAATTAGAATTTACAGAGGCTTGGTAGTTGATAATACATATTCTGATGTCTGGATTTTAGAAACAATTGTTTATTTTAACTAGGTTTATATGTTTTTTTATTTCTACTGGAAGATTATTTTATATACTTTTTTATTCTATATACTTTATTTCTAGGGGAAGATTATTATTCCCTTATATCTTGAGAGCTGTAGTTTATATTACTACAAGAAAACTGAAATGCAGTGAGAATCCAATTGGTAATCTAAGCAAAACATCTAAAAAACATTAAAAACATTAAAAGCGTTCGTGTGTATGTGTGTTTGTGTGTGTGTGTGTGTATGAGAGGAAGGAGGGAGTAGAAAAGAAAAGAGAGTGCTTAGGCCGTAGACCAAAGCAACTTTAATTTAAAGGCAAATGTTATGGGATTAACATATTTTAATGTAGTGGTCGATATGCAGTCTCCTTTAAAAATATGCTATGTATAATATCCTACCTTTTATGCCTCCTTTAGAAAGCACCCTTATTATGTTACTTATAAAGTTTAGAAATAGCAATCACAGATAATAAGTCATAGTTTTGTTATATTTATGTTGTTTGGGTTACATGAAAAGTATTTTGAGAGACACGAGAAAGGAAAGGCATCCTAAATGGCATGCAGTTGAGAGTGTGAATAACTGACATCTATGTTGCCAATGAAACAAAAGTAAACATCCTTTGAGGCATTTCGATACCAAGGAAATTGAGTCCTTTAAAAGGCACGATGGAGCAGTGAAAAACGAAGAGGAAAGGGGATTTTTATTTTTGCATATGAATGCATTAATTTTTAAATGTTTTCTAAAATTTTATATCTAAGATGTGGTATACTTACTATTTATGAATGTTATTCTTCCAGTTTGTTTTCCAGAAGCATTGAACTGACCAGTTACATTTATATCTGGGAGAACTACAGGCTCATTAGTTTGCCTTGGGATTCTCTATGGACTTGGTATTTGACCTTCTTAGGAGTTGATTTCGGCTACTACTGGTTCCATCGCATGGCCCATGGTAAGTTGCAAATCAAGGATTTATTGCTAATTTATATTGAACTGTGTTTGTAATAGATACTCAGTAAGTATTTTTTAAATGAATAAGTTTATTTCATAACACATGCATCTTAATATAGGAAGTTTAATTTGAAATTCAAATGGAAGAAGTCTGAAGTCATTTTTGAAGAAAAGTGAAATTACTGGCGGTACATTTTTTATGCCTCTTGTATCTACTTTGTAAAAAAATGTTTTAGAAGTGATACCTATAGCATTACTTTTTAATATATTGTATTACATTATTCTTATTATGACATGCTTGGTAGAAACTACAGACACTTGAACACAGTATCAGACTTCACATCAATTATCAAGGGTCATTCAGAAGAGCTCTGTTACAACAGGGAATCCTAGGTAATGTATGCTATAATTCATGAGCTAAATTCAAGATCTTGGCAGTACTTCCACATTACAAATGAAAATGTAATCAGCTGGGCACTAATCATAATGCACTTCAGTATTACCATAGTTTTGCAAAATTTCGCATTTAATTATGAAGCCCTCTTACTGCACTGGTTCATCGATTTTGCCTTTTGGGATTCTTGGCTGCACCTTTCAAAGAAATGTTTTGCTATGGAAAGGGAAATGGAAGAGCAGGAAATGGTATAAACCTCTGTCAGGATAAGTAGAGGTTTGAGAATGATTGTAGAGCTAAGGTAAGCAAATGGTCTCTAAGGAGGAATAAGGTACGGAAAAGTATTTCTGAAGGGAAATGGGGGAAAGTGCAAGTTTTGAAAAACTACTGAAAAGCAGAACTCAGGATTTCAGTGGGTGGTTGGGTTGAGTGGGTGGGGAGGAAGAAAGGAAGTGGAAGAAACCTGGAATAATAATAAAAAGTAGATGAGAGATGGCAAGAGGAGACCTGAGACCAGGGTGAATAACCGAGCTATGTGTGTAGGAGTGTGTGTGACCAAATATCCTTCCCAACCAAAGATGAAGGAAATGAGAGTAGCATAGACAAGCATTATGCTTAAGGTGACTAAATTTTAAATGCAGCATTATTTTGTTAAACACTTTAAACAAGTATATTTAATGAAAGTGTTAAATTCATTAAAACAATTTGAGTGAACATATGAACTAGAAAAATTTATCTTCTGTGTGATAACCTTTGTCCTTGAAAATAATACGTCGGCTTCTGACATCATTTCCTTGTATATAATTGCAAGAGGATACTCCCAAATAGAACAGGATTAAGAATAAAATATGGTCATGTAGTAAACTTTGTATTTTATTTCAAACTAGCGGTTTTCTCCCTAAAATAAACCCATTGGCAATCTTCCTTAGTTACTATGTTTTAAATGCGTAATGCAGAAAGCATTTACATTGTATTACTTGATTTCAGGAACCTTCTGATATCACACTGTCCTGTACAGATGTGTTTGTTTGGGAAATCTGCAAATTCGCTTAATCTTTGAAAGCCCATTATGATAGGAAACAAAGAACCAACAAAATATTACCAATTTAAAACTTTTAAAAATATGTTGATTATAAGTGCTCTCAGGGAAGAGCAATAAAATAAAATAACATATTAAAAACATGGAATCAAGACTGTTTAAAGTATGCTTCCCATTAGAAAACTTTGAACCAAATCCAGTGGAGACAGGCATTTAAAAAAAAACATCTGAAAACATTCTGGAAAAACACCCACCACCTTCAGGCTATGAAATCTAATCATATGTTCAAAGACTTTTCATTTGTTATGGAAAGTCAGTAGAAGACAAAAATAATAATTATGTATTTGATTGTGTCAACCCTCAATATGATAGTCAATTTCAAAATTTCATGATTTAACATAAAATATTAAAATAGGTTTTTAGAAATCTAGATTACACAGGAATAAGGACAATTTATCATATCAATTTCTTGTGCCCTTTGGATTACTGAGCTAATACTGAGTAATTGGTTACATTTATTTAACTGAAAAATTTGAATAGTTCTCAATCCAAATGTCATCTTAAAATATAATAAGACAAAACTCTGGCTTTTCCTACTTAGTGTATTACTTTCCTTTCACTACTTGTAATAAAATAATATATTAAAAATATATTCCACATTTGTTACTATGTTCAATGCTACTAATTTTGAATAAACTATATTAAATATCTAATATAAAGTATATACATAATATATATTATATATTAAACATAAATATATAAAATATAACTTATATAATCATACATAAATATATATAATAAACAAAAATAAAACAAATTATATATTATATATAATTATATATTACATATTTAAAATTTTGTTTTTACATGTATGTAAGTTACTTCTTTAGTAACAAATTATTGCTAGGATTTGTTGTTACTTGTTTTGCATATATGTAGGCTTTTCACATTAAGAGGACAGTTTGGTATTAGTAGAGAGTAATTTATTCTCAAAAACTTGAGGGATATTTGAGGCAGATATATGTGTTATTAATATTCCATTCTTCTTTCCTATGGGATAATGAGAAAGAAATTGCTGATTTTTGCCAACTTACACAAAGAAAGTAGTAGCACAATAATTTTTATATATTCTGATAACGTTAGAAAGGTAGAAGAAAAATAAAATAGGTTTTAAATTAAAAGCAGGTTTTTGCATGCTTAGTCTCCATTGCAAATGGATGCATTATTTTTCTTTGTACTTCCTATAGTTACACTAAATATGTGAGAAAAACAAGTGAAGATTTTGAAGGAAATATTTGCAATATAAATGATTACTATGTATTAGGAACAAAATGAGCCTCCCAGAGTACTGGTAATAGACTTTATCTTGTCTTGGCTGGTGTCTAAATGAGCATATATATTTGTAAAAATGTATTGAGTTGAGCATTTAAAGTTTACATACTCTGTCTATACCTCAATAAAAGTTGTAGGTGAATCATGTCACCAATATGATTTCTTGGTGAATGGTTTGAAGGCAGAGTGACATAATGGGTAACCAAATTTAGAAATAAAAGCAAATAAATGATCATTTGTGGCTGTGAGCATGAACATGTGACATTACACAGATTTTACCTGTATCAGTTTCCACAGCTAAGGATGGTAGAATTACTCACATATGAGTTATTAGTTTTACTTACTTTCTTCTCCAAATCCTTCTTTGCTGTTTTTTTATGTTACTAGAGGAGGACCCTATATATGTTTCTTCTTTGCCAGCTGACTGGATGTTAGGTTTTGCCAATTTAAGGGACTGAAGGGGTACTAGACAACATCAACAGCAGCAAGGAACTTTGCTTCTGTTTTCCAGAATGCTCTTCTTGTGGCACTTAACAGATTGGTATGCAGGCAAGTGGTAATGCTTGCCTGATGGCTCGGCTGTACCTATCCCTGAGGTAACATCCTCTCCCCTCTGGCGACCACACCCTTTGGGGTCTGCACAGTCTAGCGAGTCTGTCTCTCACCACCATAATTCCTGTGGTAGCTACACCCCCTCCACAGACGTCTTGCTGTCAGACTTGGTGGTGGTGGGAGGGCTCTCCCGGGTCTCTAGGTACTTGTCTTGTTTGCTCTTCCCAGCGCTACAGGCAATACTGTGTTCTGCAGTTGCACTGAACTACTGCTTGTTTACCTTTTTTAGTAGTAAACTCTCTATTTGCTAGTTAATAAATCATCATGTTAACTTTTCCTTAATCAAATTACTGGTGTGGCTTCTGTCTCTTAGTTAGATTCTGACTGATGCAGCCAGCTACCCCATGCGCATGGGGCTGTAAATTGGAGTTCACCTGACTATGTCTTTGACTCTTCCATTCTGAGTCATTGATTACACATTCAGGCTACAATGCAATGTAGTTCAGTACTGAAATAAAGATATTCATCAGTAAAATTATTATAATAAGCAGTCAATAAAATCCCCTCAAACTCTAATCTTTACTCAACAAATAAACTGTTAAGTTTATTTTCTCTTCATCTCTTTCTGTATCTAAGCAAGGTGAGTGATCACAGTTCTGTGTAATTAGTTACAAATATTTATACCCACAAGTTAATTTGATTAAGTAAGCCTCTTTATATGAGTTATCAAATTTCAATATTTTCATTCCTTTCTGACTTCTATGGGGGTTGAATTTAGGTCATCCTAATTTTCACCAATGCTTAAACAAAGAAAATAAGCAAATGCATTGGTTAGAAATTATTTTATTATATAATGACACCAGGATTGTGGTCTGTATTGAAGCAGATTACTTATATTTGGCTATATTTGTATTTCTTTTTTCAATCCCAAAATATATCTAAGTTTTTGTAATTCTTTGCCATATATTATGCCTCACCCTTTATTTAAAACATACAGTGTGATTATGTTCTTTTTAGATCACTGAGGGTGAAGCCCACTCTGTATTTGTTTAAGTTACAGCCGTTCCTCCTACCTTTTACTATGATTTCTTACCTTTCCTCACCCCTTGAAGTAGTCATCATTCAGAACATACAGGAGGGAAGCCTTGGAATTCCCATCAACTTGTCTTCCATATTCAGTTCCTCATCATTACTTTCTACTAAAAAAACATGGCACCTACATCAACCATTTTCCTCTGCGTAAATTGCAATGACAGAGGCTATCTTATGTCTAATGCCAATCATTTGTCCATAGGAGCACTTCAAATGTGTTTGCACTGCAAGATTGTCATTAGTTCCCCTTAGAGAGAGTCCCATTTGAGGGAGCCTTTCTCCTAGAAATAACTTATTCTTATCACTGATAGCTGCAGTCATCCTTTGGTGGCTACAGTCTAAATTTCCTTTGGTATTCTTAGAGTCTATATGTAGGCAATATATGAAAAGCACATTTCATACAAAGAGTCTGGCCATCATTCAGGTGATGAAAGCATAGGTGCATTGAGTTGTCAAACAGGGAAGTCATACACTTGATACTAAAGAATAAGAGTTTCAGGAAGCTCTATCAGCCTGTTTTTGAACATTGGTAATAAAATGTAGAAATATTTCCAGCCAATATTTCCAGGAATAGTTGGGAGCATTTGAGGAT